ACTTGCTGCTGTTTTCTTTCTTTTTGTTTTTGTTTTTTTTTTCTTTTGATCTGCTGGATTCTTGTTTTTGGTTTGTTATATAGCTTCCTTTTCAGGGATGTTGTTGAACTTGAGATGGTCTTCGAGTGTTTTTTTACTATACTGATAGCTATGCCTTTGTCAGATTGATTTGTTTGGCATATATGCAGGACAAGTGAATTGAATTTCACACTGAGATTTGGTTTTCTGTATTTTGCTTGATTTGTCTATTGAAAGCTTGCTTCTTGGTGATGTGCTTTTTTTGTTCTAAATATCTTGGTTTTTCCTAGTCAAAGTTGGGACTTTTTTTTCTTAATATTTGTTAAAATATAATGATGTGGAACATATGTAATTCCTTTACTTTTAATTTCCATAGAAACTTCAGATTTGCTGCAGAAATTATCCCTAGACTCACAAACAAAAACCTTAGAAATGCCCGAGCCCACCAACAAGGTAATTTGCAGCCTTTAAGTTTAGATCTTTATCTTTGGTTTAGGCTTGTGTTTATATTTGTTAATTTGGTTATTACTAGATCCAGCCAAGTGACCGTTCTGTGACCCCAGTGCTATCCAACTTCATGGATCCAACTGTGTGCTATCTTCCTAATGGTTATCCCTCGTACTACTATGGTGGTGAGTTTAACATGCTGAAATGCTATTGGATTTTGATATCAAATGCATTCTGTATTGAATTATTCCTACCGTGATGTCTTTAAGAGAAGAAATGTAAATTTGATAAATTATGTCTCGCTGCTGGTCTTCTAGGCTATAATGGAACTGGCGAGTGGGACGACTACTCAAAGTATCTGAATACAGAAGGAGTAGATATGACTTCTGTAAGTACATCTGTATGGTTGATAGTTGTTTCAAATAGAAGTGTCATTGTTATTCTTCGATAAGTGGAGATTCTTTTCTTTTCTAAACAATTGGTTGTCTAATGTGCCTTTTTGTGTTTTCAGGGAAACGGATCTGCTATGTATCCTCATGGTTATTGGTATGGACCCTATGGCCCATATTCCCCAGCAGCTTCTCCAGTTCCTACAATGGGAAATGATGGTCAGTTATATGGTCCTCAGCACTACCAATATCCTACTCCCTATTTCCAGCCATTGACTCCTACCAGTGAGCCCTTCATCCCCAGCCACGTAGCCCCTTCACAAGGCGATCTTTCTATCACAACAGCTGCTGACCAGAAGTCTTTGCCTGTGGAAACAGGTAAAGAGAATTCTAATGGCATTGCAAATGGTGGGGATGTTAAAGGAGCCAATGGTGCAGTTCCTTACAAACCTAAGTATAACAATTCATATGGAAGGGGTAGTTATACAAAGGGCATTCCTGCTTCTGGATACAAGGATCTGAGATCTTGTTTTGATAGGTTACAGCCTGATATCCCGTTGCTGGATAGTTCTGTACTTTCCGATGGCCTGTATAGGAACACTGATATTTCTTCATTTTCAAAGGCTAGCAATGCTCCATCTTCAAGAAATCAGAATTTCCATCAAAATTCTCATTTCATGGTATGCCATCTATGATCTTCCACATTCCATCTATTGCATATTTTTTACTAAATTGGTGATTCTGGATTGTGTCTCCCAACTTATTCTTCATAACCTGTTCATAATATCCTTCTCAAATAAACTAACTTTTGGTTCAGAAAAATAAACTTATTCAGTTGGTTAAATCCTTCTCCTTCATTCTATTACTTATTTGTTCAAGTTGTGATAGCTTAAGTTGATGTCATTGTCAGTCTACTCTCTGATTCTTCACTTCTATAAGACTTTTAACGTTGCTATATCATCTTTGATTGGTAATCTGTATATCGAAGTTGGGCTATATTAAGTTTTGTGTTTGACTTTTGATTTTTCATAATATTTTCAGACTCATTTTGTGAACATTCCTTGCTTTTCCAATTACAAACATTCATTTATAGTGTATTTTTTCTCATGGATGATTTTGTTTGATTTGTCAGGGATGGCAGCACCCAGGTCTGGCATCAGGCATGGGTTCAACTCATGGATATATGAATAGGATGTATTCCAACAAACTCTATGGTCAATATGGGAATGGTTTCAAATCTGGCGTGGGCTTTGGATCTGGTGGTTATAATGCAGGAATAAATGGTCAAGGGTGGTTGCCTATCGACAGCAAATATAAACCCAAGGGGCAAGGCAATGGTTATTTTGGTTTTCGCAATGAGAATATTGATGGCTTGAATGAGCTGAACAGAGGACCTAGGGCCAAGGGCTATTTCAAAAACCAGAAGGGTTTTGTTCCTTCCACAGTTGCAGTCAAGGGGCAGAGTGTGCCATCAAGTGATACTAATGCTGAGGAGAAGGATAAGACAACTGAGGTTCCTGATCGAGAACAATATAACAAAGCAGATTTCCCAGTGGAATATGTTGATGCTAAATTTTTCATTATTAAATCTTACAGCGAGGATGATGTGCATAAGTGCATTAAATACAATGTCTGGGCTAGCACACCAAATGGTAACAAGAAGCTTGATGCAGCATATCAAGAGGCTGGGCAGAAATCTGGTGGCTGCCCAGTGTTCCTTTTATTCTCGGTGAGCATAGGGATGCTATCAATCTTTCTGATTTATTGTTTGACAACTGTCAATAGCTATGGGCTTAGCTTTCTCTTTAATTTTTTATTCCAGGTCAATACCAGTGGGCAATTTGTGGGACTTGCAGAGATGACAGGCCGAGTTGATTTTGACAAGAGTGTGGAATATTGGCAACAAGACAAGTGGACAGGCTATTTCCCTGTGAAGTGGCACTTTGTGAAGGATGTTCCCAACAGTTTGTTGAAGCATATTACCCTTGAAAACAATGAGAACAAACCTGTAACCAATAGCAGGGACACTCAAGAGGTAGTTATAGTTGCTTGTGTAATTCTTTGTTGGTTTTTTCCCCACATCTTTTTCATTCTAAAGTGCACTCTTGGTGATTTTAGGTCAAGTTAGAGCAAGGGCTTGAAATGATAAAGATATTCAAGGAACATAGCAGCAAAGCATGCATCTTAGATGATTTTGGGTTTTATGAGGATCGGGAGAAGAAGATTCAGGAGGAGAAGGCCAAGCAACAGCAGCTCAAGAAACAGGCACTTAATCTTAACCATATGTTTATCTTGTTTTTTAGATTATTTTTATGGGTTCTTTCCACTGTCTTCGAGAGTACTTTCTAACTTTTGCGGTCTCATTATGCATTGGTGTGCAGGTATGGGATGGAAAGCCAAGTGATGAAAAGAAAGAGCTGGTAAATGGTTCATAGAAGTCTCCGGGCAATGTCTCTGATTCGAGCTAAGAACATACTTGAACTGCATATTCTAATGGAGACCTGACTGATTCTGAGAATTTTTGGTTAGTAAAACTAAAGATGCATCAGAGGCAATGAGAAGTATGGCAGATGATAGGTTTTGGGGGGCTTAGGGTTTTCTGCTTTAGGGCCATTATATTCCTATTTTGATATTTGTTTTTTTTCCCCTTAAATTTCTATAGTTATTCTTATTTTCCTGTTTGGTTATTTTCTGCCGTGTCATGTAACCCCTTCGTTAGGTTGACAAGGTTGGAAAAGTATGTGCAATAGATTGGAGTAAAAGGAGCTTTTAATGCCCTTTTTTTGGCTTCCTTGTTCCTTCCTTTACAGTTTTCTAGCCTAATATTATTATTACCACAATCCATCATTATTTTTGCTATAATCTTCTATTCTTGGAATGTTTGCAAGAGGGGGGAGATTCATTGATTGCCTTGCGTGTGCCGTGTGGTTGTGGTTGAGAGCAGCAGACTGTTATAAGATTAAGCATCAGAAGTGCTGAAGGTTTTTCTTGAAAACATCCTGGCGGCTTCCCAGTTGACTAACGTCTTGGCTAGATTCAGATCAGCTTGCAAGTCCTAGCAATTGACTTTTTTGGAGTGGCAGAGAAGAACGGGCCAAGGAAACTCTGATGCCTCTCTTCCTGTGGTATTGGCTTGGTAAAGTGAGTTTGCATTGTCCCAGAGAATCCAATCAGATGGAAGAAGGAAGCAAAATTTAATGAATGGATCTAATGTGTTTGCATGGAATGACTCTCTGTTCTGGGTATATTCAATATGCCTGCTAACGAGGAGTTTAAGAATTCCATTAATTTCAATTTCCCAAGTAGCTATTAATTTCTTTCAAGCAAAAGAAAAGAAAACAGAACAAGATAGAAGGCAAAGGAGGTATCTTTCAAAATTCGCACCCAACTGTAAGGCTGAACCTAAAGAAACATGGACATGGTGGGATGCTAGATTCAATACTCAAACAAGCTGTCAATTAAATATAAACTTGGTGCGCTGGGATGCCAAATTTAGCAAGTTTGGTTTCACGTGACAAGCTAAATTCAAAATATTTGTATTCAGCTAAACTTCAAGCAATAGGCTAAATCCAGCACTAAAAAAAACCTATCACTAGAATAATTACATGAATTATTCATTTCTGAGATTGTGATCTTTCTACACGCACTAAAAAAAACCTATCACTAGAATAATTACAGCAAGTTTGGTTTCCGAAAGATTTTTTAAGAAAGATATTTGTTTATTTTTAATGCTATAAAAAAACAAGTGATCCTTTAGTAATTTTATTGCCTGGAAACAGCAAAGTTGAAGAAATATAAATATTCACGAATTATAAGTTTTGAGAACTTTTTTTCTTAATAATTTAATCCTAAAATACAAGAGTATTCTTTTAAATCATTTATCACGTTTCTCGTGAAATTACTCATTTCATTGTCTTTCAAGTCGTCTTGATTAAGTTTGTTTTTACATGTACTTGAATTTTTACCATTAATTTGATACTTCTTGAGCTAAGAAAATTGCTTCTTGAAATAAACTAAATAACTCATTCCTTAAACATTCAAGGATTTGGGACATCATCAACTTTTTTTAATGGGATTGAATTAAATTTTATTTTGGTGTGTCGGGAAATTATTAGCAGTAAGTGCAATGGCAAGATTAGTCGCTTCTGTTTGCAAAGCAACGTTGAATTCTCAACTTGTCAAGGCATTAACGTTATTCAACAGCAACGATGAGAACAAAAGCAGTCACAACACACAGGTAAATCAATGGGTCTTTGTTCTGTAATCAGTGAAGCTCTCCATAACGCATTTGAAGCCGACCCTCGGTAAGTTTCTAGCAATACCCATTTCGTTTTTGGTTTCTATATTTCGATTTCCAGTCCATGTTTTCTTGTCAAGTTCTTGGTAGTTTTTGTTTCTGTTCTTTTTACTTCATTTTGGTGAATCAAGTTTTCGAACGCTCGAGCTCCATTTGGGTTGTCAAGTCTCCTTGTTTTGTTGCAAGGCAGTCGTGTAGCTGCTCCATGGTAACAAGCTAACTTCGTATATCTGTATGCATGAACCCCAGGATTAAGATGCTAATTTCCATCCACTAAATGATGAAAATAAAACCATTCCAGTCCAATTCTAGGGAAGCCAAACTAAATTGTGCGGGAGCCTTTTATTTTGGGAGCTAGAACCTTAAATTATGGATTCGTACGACTGATCTGGCTGCCGAGGACAATATTCAGGAACCTAGCATTGATTCCTGTTCATCAAGCAGGGAAAGACAACTCATATGAAAAACTTCAACTTGTATTCTACTTCTTGCGAGGAATCAGAAAATGGCATAAATTCGAAAATCAATAGCTTCATCTGCACCATTTAAAAGGATCCATTTTTACCTCCTCTTCTTTTTTTTTCATGAATGAAGTCAAAAAACAGTAAAAAAGCCTTGCCTTTCCTCTGGTTATCCATCCCTACAACCTTCTTCCCCCTCTTCTTCGTCGTCAGCCCTTGGCAAGATTAGCCCAAAACCACCCTTGGATGAACAATCAAAAATCAAAATCAAGTAAAATCAGCCAGTTTCAGTATTTAAGATTAACAGAAAAACAGATCAGGGCCTCAGAGATCTTGGTGGTTAGGAATCATCAAATGGAGTTATATATAACTCCATCAAGAGTAGCAAATATTTTATTACATCACCGGCCCCCAAAGAAAAATGCTAATAATAATCATAATAATTAAAAACAGAAAAAAGTGCTTGAAGATGATGATGATGAAGATGAGATCGTGTCAGAAGTAGCTGGTTGTGTAATCATAGGATAAATCAGTGGGAATCCGTCTGATTTTTATCATCATCCATCAATCAATAAATCATCCATCATCATCATCACACCAAATTTTAAAATTTGAGACAGATCAAAGAAGAAAAGAGGAGAACAAGATCAAAATATAATAAGATGTATCTACCTTGTCACCAACAAACCCTAAAAACAATTTCTTCAAGAGAAAAAAAGGACAGTCGGAGCTAAAGGTAGAAAATGCATGCATGTATATACATACAGATATACATCACTATTGCCTAACGATAGATTCTTTGGCCAATAATCTATTCATTAAGACCAAAGAATTGCAATATCAGGCTTTACTTCATTCATATTAACAAACACAATCAAACAGCATGCATGCGAAACCCTAAAAGAAGATGCAGAAAGCGTTAGCCCCGCTGCTGCTTCTAGTTCTGCTGCCTCTCTTGTTATATATAGCTAAGAGTTACGAGGGAGGGGCACGGAAAACCCTAATCCTAGAACCCCCGGGGGCCGTTGCAGCCGCTACGTATGGGCCTTTCTGTTCTACCTCATCTAGGGGCCCTACTGCTCTTCGTTTCATACGGAATGGGCCGTATGTTGGGCTAATTTCAACTTTCAACCTCACCTCGAATCATTAAATGAGTCCAAACACTTATATTAATTAAAAAATAAAAATTAACGCATCCATTCATTCCGGTTTATCTTGCGTAAAATATTTTGTAAATAAAAAATATTTTAATATTTTGACAAAGCAAACATGCTAGGATATGAAAATATTCGTGCAAAGTATTTCACGCAAAAACAAGAGCACCCCCAAGGTAGTAATTTCTTCCCTTTCTCTCCATGGCTCCAAATGCCCAGTATGCTTGTTTCTCTTACAAAGTAAAAAGGCTTTAGATAGCCGTTGCAAGGAGGAAGAACTACTCTCTCTCTAGAGGGAAAAAAGAAAAAAAGAAAAAGAAATGAGAGATCGAGGGGGGGGCATACAAAGCGAGCTCTCGGCCGGGCTGCAAAACCTCCCAGTCTTATCAATCGGTGGCATGTGAATGGTAGAGGAAGAATGTTGTTGTTGTTGTTGTTCTTCTTCTTCTTCTTCTTGTTGGTGGGTACGAAATTGAGGCTACCAATCTGACATTGCCTTGCTGGTAGTAGTTATAGTAGAATAGTAATGGCAATAGTAACGAGATGAAGGAGGAGGAGGAGGAGGAATTGAAATGGGTCTTGTAACAGCCTAAAAGTGAGCCTCCCTCCATTTTTTTCAATTTCTTCTCTGCTCTCCTCTCACTGAAATGAATAATGATAATTTTATTTTATTTTCCAACGTTTTTGTTATTTTTTTATTAATATAAATATTATATCCTAACTAAATCTTAAAATTAACATCTATAAGTTTAATGATCTGAAATTTAGGAGAGTCAAACCGGTAATTTTTTAAAAATAAACCTAAAACCTAACTAATTTACCTTTATCCTTTCTTCAGTATTATACATAATTAATTAATTAATTAAGTTGGTAGATAGTAATACAAAATAAAATACAAGGAATGGAGACAGCGTCGTCTTGACATCACTCATCAACTCCTTCCCTTCCCTGCCCCTGCCTGCCATCGTCCTCCGTCTCTGATTCCGAGCTCACACAATAATTGATTATTATCTCTCTCTTCCCCTCTCACACTCAGAGTCAGAATCTTCTTGCTTTGCTGTTCGATACACAGAGAGCGTAACGAATATATAATAACAATAATAACAAAAAAGAAACAATGAAAGGAGAGAGCAGCAGCAGCTTCTTCATATTATTTCCTCCGATTGTTTATGCACTCTTATGCACTGCAGCTTCCATTGCTACATCAGCTGTTGTTCCAATTAACCCTTTTCTTGGAATCCCTCCTCAAGGTCACTCCTTCCTTTCTACCCCATCTTTCTAACCTTTATGTTGTTTTTCGATTTGTTCTCTAACATCATCATCATCATGCTGAGAATTTTTTGTATTTATCTTTCTGGGATGCCCAGATGAGAATTATTACAAGACATCATCACCTACTATAAAATGTAAAGATCGATCCGCTACTTTCACCAAGGCTCACCTCAATGATGACTTCTGTGATTGCCCTGATGGTACCGATGAGCCTGGTCTGTTTCTCTTGCTTCTTCTTTCCTTATATGTCTTTCGTGCCTTCACACATCTTCCCATTGTAGCAACTGGGCATTTCTTCTTTTTCTCTTTTCCATTAAAAGTTTGTCTTGATACTTGTAGACATCTCATTTAGCCCCCTTTTGAAGAAAAAAACAATAAAAGGAACTTCCTTTTCTCAAAAAATACTGGTATATTCTTACCTTTTCTTTTACTAGATATCTTATGGATGCAATGCAGGCACATCAGCATGCCCCGGTGGGCAATTCTATTGTAGAAATGCAGGGCATGATCCCGTTTTCTTATTCTCTTCCAGAGTCAATGATGGCATCTGTGGTAAGCATAGCTACATGTAAACAAAATAATAATATGTGTATTGTTATACTCTTTCTCTCTCTTTTTCTTCCTTGTAGTTTGTATTGACTGCCTCATAATGTAGATTGTTGTGATGGGAGTGATGAGTATGATGGCCAAGTTAAGTGTCCAAATACATGCTGGGAAGCCGGCAAAGTGGCAAGAGATAAGTTGAAGAAAAAGATTGCTACATATAAGGAAGGGGTTGCGTTGAGAAAAAGAGAAGTTGAAAAAGCAAAAATGGCATTCGCCAAAGATGTGGCTGAACTGTCCAAGTTAAAAAATGAGGAGAAGATACTAAAAGGGCTTGTTGAACAGCTTAAAGGTGTAGTATAGTTTTTCTCCATGTTGTACTGTTATACTTTAAGTCTGCTAGACTCGTTGAAGAAGATTTGAGCATTGTAAAAATAGATAGACTGACATATCTAACAACACCTGCGTGTTTCTGTACGTTTCTTCACGTGTGGAGTTAACAATTGTGTAAATGTTCTTCTGCTTCACCTCCCCATGTAGAGCTCAAAGAACAGATAGAGAAGACAGAAGAGAAAGAACGTTTGCAGAAAGAAAAGGAAGAGAAACAAAGGAAAGAAGCTGAAGAAAAGGCCAATGGGGATAAAAGTGCAGTTATGGGGGGAGCTAAACTAGAAAAAGGCCGCGCTGAGGAGAAAATCGACAATGAAGACAAAGATATGGAAAACAAACATGATGAAATTGGTGTTTTGGATGATTCTCCTGCATATCAGGTCTGACTGATTGCTCATTTTGATGTTCATCATTCATCAACCTTTATGTGAGCATGCACACACTCAAACTCTCATAATTTGTCAAGGATGTTTAAAGTGCTTTTCTTTATAACATCTTCTAAAAGCATAGAGGAGTGGTCTGAACAAGTAGATATCCGCATTCCTGACCTGCTCAGCAATTCTCCTCCAAACTTAATTACTCTTCTGATAAACTGATCAAATTAGCCCATATAAAAATTGAAAGATGCATCCCAATCTTTTTCTCTGCATTTGCATATCCATTCCATATTTTGATGCAAAAATTCTAAATTCACTGACGCCACCATCATTTTAATTTTTTTCAAGACATAAATTAAAAAAATGAGCTAGAAATATCGAAATTTGATTTGATAGAAAAGTGAATAGGTTTATTCCTATTCTTGCAAAGAGGTTTCTCCAATACCCTTAAATGTTCCATTTGTTTGAATGAGTAGGTTATCCCCATGTACAAAATGCTTGCTGAAAGATGACTGACTTGGTTTGAAGAAATTGATGCACTCATAACTCAATGCTGTAGCTAATTCTGTTTTAGTTTTGTAATCTCTAATAGGATGTTGTGGACGAGTTTGCTGATCATGGAGCTGAAGATGAAAGTGGTGATGCTTCCAAAATTGAAGGATCTCCAGTTAGCAAAGTGGAGAAGGTAAAAAAGAGTGTGCATTTGTACACATTTACTACTCCTGGAAAGTGGTGCTACACTGTCTTGGCAGCTTGGTCACTGTCAAAAATATAACATGCCATTCCTTGTTAATATAGCATGAGGGACAAGACGATGAAGAGCCTGTCACCACAAAAATCAAGGATGAGTCTACACTTGTGCCTGAAACTGGCCATGATGCTGGAAATGAGGTGTCTCATCCTCAACCTATGGAAGAGGTAAGCCCCCCACCCCACCCCACCCCACCCCACCCCTAGCTAATGTAAAAAAGAGTAGTGTCATGATACTTATCCTGTTCCCATATTTTGTTGATTGGGGATTCATAGATCAAGCTTTAGCTCTTCATTTGACCGTCTCACATAGGGGTTAGGACACTTGGCTGGCTCATTTATAATTGCATTTTAATGAGGGGTTCACTGTAGAATCACCCTTTTCCTGGATTTTTTTGTACACCATTCCTTAGACACCGTTTGGGAACGTAGTGCAAACCATGTTTCATAAAAATTAAAAAACAAATTTTGTTTAATTTTTTTTTAATGTTTTTAAATTGTTTTGATGTGCTAATGTTAAAAATAATTTTTTTTTAAAAAGTATTATTTTGATGCATTTTTAGATGAAAAACAATTTGAAAAGCAACCGCTCTCAAACACCCTCTTAAGTTCTCTAGAAAAATCGACGATGTAAGCCCCCCACCCCACCCCACCCCACCCCACCCCTAGCTAATGTAAAAAAGAGTAGTGTCATGATACTTATCCTGTTCCCATATTTTGTTGATTGGGGATTCATAGATCAAGCTTTAGCTCTTCATTTGACCGTCTCACATAGGGGTTAGGACACTTGGCTGGCTCATTTATAATTGCATTTTAATGAGGGGTTCACTGTAGAATCACCCTTTTCCTGGATTTTTTTGTACACCATTCCTTAGACACCGTTTGGGAACGTAGTGCAAACCATGTTTCATAAAAATTAAAAAACAAATTTTGTTTAATTTTTTTTTAATGTTTTTAAATTGTTTTGATGTGCTAATGTTAAAAATAATTTTTTTTTAAAAAGTATTATTTTGATGCATTTTTAGATGAAAAACAATTTGAAAAGCAACCGCTCTCAAACACCCTCTTAAGTTCTCTAGAAAAAGTTTAAAATATACTACCAGTAGTTGGTATTACAGTCTTGCATAAGGCATGACAATCCTCTTGTCCCTCACCATGCTTTTGTTGATTGATGATTTGCTTATGGCATGATAATCCCATGAAGCTCACCATCTTGACTACCTTTGGTGGTTTCTCTAAATGCTGTCTTCAGGAGAAGGATGAATCCACTGATGCAAAAGGATTGTCAAAGGAAGAGTTGGGCCGCCTTGTTGGCTCTCGTTGGACAGGAAATTCAGAGAAGCAAACTGAGGAAGTTAGGGATACAAAGGACAACGACCATGGAGACCAGGAAGAGATGGCCCATGACACGCATGATGAGAAATATGATGGCTATGCTTCAGAAACTGCTGATGAAACTGACAAGGATGATGATGTTGATCGAGAAGATGATGTAGATGAGACCTATGAAGAGGAAGTTCACGATGATGTTGATGATGCTCCTTATAAATCTGACTCTGATGATGAAGTTGAATTTTCAGGTTTGCAACTGTTTGTTGCCACTGCCTTTTGTGCTCAGTTGTTTTTTATTTAAGGAGCTGATATTAGGTACTTGTTGTCAGATACAACCTCCCCAGGTAATCCATCTTGGTTGGAGAATATACAGCAAACCTTTAGGAGCATTCTACAAGCCTTTAAATTATTCCAAACTCCAGTGGATAAATCAGGTCAATTTTAAAACACTATGTTACTATTGAATAATTTAAATGTTGGAAATGAATGGGTGAAAATCAGGTCACCAGTTACCTTTTGACTTCTATAGAGGCTGCTCGTGTACGCAAGGAATACGATGAGTCCAGTGCTAAGTTGTCTAAAATACAGTCAAGGATATCAAGGCTGACACAAAAGCTCGAACATGATTCTGGTTAGTATTGACAAGCTGTACGTGCATGCACCCCTGTGGCATTAGCATATTTCTATTAGTTAACTGTAAAGGTTAATATTTCAGGGACAGAGAAGGAGTTCTATTCATTCTATGATCGCTGTTTTGAGAGCAAGCAGAACAAGTTCACAACCTTGCTTCTGCTAGTTTATATTCCTTTTCTGTTTCAGTTGTGATCACTGATTTATCTTACCTTTTGACAATTGAAATTCACACCTCAGGTATGTTTACAAAGTCTGCTCATTCAAACAAGCTTCCCAGTCAGAGGGCCCCTCAACAACTCGTTTGGGGTAATGTGTCTATGGAATTCTTTTTGTTCTTTATCTAGAAATCTCCCTGCCTCCTTCATATGTTATGGGATCATCTGGAAAAAAATCATGCATTGCTATGCTTTTCTAGGGATGCTCTCAACATTTTGTTTATTCTTTCATTTAACCTGGATATCCATGCGAGAGATGAACCTAAGCATCTTATTCTTTTGGGTATTGATTAGCTTACATGGTATTTATTCTCTCTGTAACTGATAATTTCTTTCTTTTGGGTAAGGCGCTGGGAGAAATTCGAGGACTCGTACCGAGTTATGGTCTTTTCAAATGGGGATAGGTGCTGGAATGGGCCTGATCGAAGTTTGAAGGTGCATACACTTTCATGCTGAATCATGTTACGGAAAAATTCAATTGCTGTGAACGTGATGGGCATAATTACTTTCTTTCGATTTTGCAATAACATCCAGGATAAAGAAATTAAGGAAACAAGTAATACAATTGCTGTAAACGTGTTGGGCATAAGTCCATGCTAGTTGAAAGGGAAAAGAAGAAGAAGAGTTCTGACTTCATTTCATCTGTTAACTTCATTTTATATTTCCTTTCTTTTCTCTCAACATCTTAAATTGGTATGCAAACTGTTAATGAAAGTGAAAGTGAAACTGATATGAACTTCTGTCAATGAAGATAATTTGTTTTTTCCATTTCAGTCTAGACGTTAAATTCACACCTGGATTGGTGTCAATATTTACTTTCGACCTAAAAACAAGAGCTGCAAGGCAAATAGAGATAAAATACAATAAAGAAAAGACTCATTGCCTTGTCTTTATGTCTGTGAGTTACAGGTCAGGCTAAGATGCGGACTGGATAATGAGGTTACAGATGTAGATGAACCAAGCCGTTGCGAGTAAGGACCTGTTTATGCCCATTTTTGTGTGTGATCATATGCTTTATATTGCTGGCTAACCCTTTAAGCTTCCCGTGCAAGGTATGTGGCATTGCTGTCTACCCCAGCCCTTTGCATAGAAGGAAAGCTTAAGGTAATTAAACTTTCTAAGAATGAAACTCGTACTTTCTGCATTGAACATTCTGATGTATTTGAACGTGACAGGAACTGGAAAATAAACTAGAGTTGATGAACAAACAACAGCCAAGGAGCCATGATGAACTTTAACTTGCCTGAATGAGTTTACCACAAACATTCTAGAGGATGCTGATCGCTTGAAAACTCATCTATTCATTTTTGGGTTGGTAGTGAGAAATTTTGAGCGGTATTAGAACAGTGCTCCCGAATTTTTTTCTATTCTGGATCACACCTTTTGTAACATGTCGAATTCATTGTGAAGGTTGGGTCGAGGCATGGGAGCAATCATGACGAAGTCTGGCGTAGTTAAACTAATGATAAATATAGTGACACTTCTATTGAGCTAAGCTTGGATCATTAGTACAATAATAGAGAGCATTTATGTTGCCCTAGCAGTGGCTTTTTATTTTTTATTCTGTGCCATGGAAGTGCCAAAATCCATGCAATCGTAACACAAGGGCGACGCAAAGGACAGGCAGCCGTGCCTGAAACTCACAAATCATGGTGTCCGCGATGCACAAGGATGGTTAGGATTTGTGATTCCATGCAACTCCAGCTGTTCTCAGCAAGACCCTATACAGGATTCCACTATTGATCCCTATGATTTTCTTCATTGTCATCACTTTCGAGTTTGGTGTCTTTTGTTTATGATACGAGTAAAACTAAAGCACGCATTTCTTTCAACCTCACATGAGTTATGATCAAATACCGTCTCTGGTTTTGGAGATCGACTATCACTGTTAAATTAAATAAAGCATGGTGGGGTAAGCATGACCGTTGAGGTGAGACCAGATGAATTAAAAATCAAAGTAAGAGGCACTGACCCCTTCTGTGGTTCAAATGGCCAGCAGTTTTTGATGACATCTGCCACCTTCGCCGCCTACAGATTGAGAATTGGATGTCGTGCGGTGCTTGTGCTTGGATTGATGTCCTGTCCCTCTAATCTACGTCTTCTCTCTCTCTCTTTTCTTTTGTGTACTTTTCGCAGTGTCCCAGGGCCAGTTTGGTTTATGGGAAATTACACACAGCTTGTGCTTCGGGTCATTGCTAATCAAGCACGAGGGCAATAGGATGTATTAGCTGAGTGATGCCAATAGAGCCATGAAAAAACAAAAGAAAAGGTAAGTGGCCTAACCCTCTTAATCGTGACTATTCTGAAAGTCAAATGGAATTGGAATAGTAGATCCTTTCTTTTACTTTCGTTATTCATATCCGTGGATTTCTAACAAGTGGATTTCTCCCCCCCCCGCCATTTGATTAATTACAAGGAAATGGATGAACGTTCCCTCGTAGAATCAAACTCACTCCCGTCTACGTCCATCAGAATCTGCTGATCAAATCACAAAAAGTTCTCCTATACGTAACCCATTCACTTAAGAACAACTTCATATGTGCCTTACTGTTATGTGGCTTTAGACACAGCACCCATCTCTACTTTCTTTGGTTGGAAATACACATGAACAACTTCACATTCAACGCGCCTCTTGACGTCTGATTTGTGACTCTTTACATCCACTCATGAAGAGTAAATGATTCAATCCAATGAAGGAAAAACTTAAATCGCGAATTGGAAACATCTTAAGTTGGATTGAGCTAGTGTGAGAGAGAGTCCTTTAAAGCAGAAGCTAGCAAGAGGGAGGGGGAAGGTGGCAGAAGCAGCCGATGGGTTTGTACATGTGATAACCAAATTTCTATGGGCGTGACTGCCACCTACCAAAGGGCAAAGTCATGCCCTACACCATCGTATAAATCAAACCACTCACACCCTTAACAAAAAAGAAGATATTCCTAATCCTGTCTTGCTTCTCAAGATAGATATATTATGCTCCTCCCATTTCTTGGTCTCTTCATTTATAAACAAATAATTAAATAATCTTGCCAAACAACCCTTCCAAGAATAATAACAATAAAAAAAAATAAATCCATAAATCCACTTCTTTCTCTATTTGTCATTTCTATATATACATATAGTTAGTGTGTAGTATTGGGTAAAACACGCAACACAACCACAGAGAGATAAATTCCTAAAACTTCAAGTCCTAAATTTGTTCTCCTCCTGATAAATAAATGACGGCCAGCAACGGTGGAGGAGATGCAGTAACAGCAGAAGCAAGAGTTATGGAGATGAGGCCGAAGACCAAGATCGTCTGTACTCTGGGACCTGCATCAAGATCTGTCCCTATGATCGAAAAACTCTTGAGGGCTGGCATGAACGTCGCTCGCTTCAACTTCTCTCATGGATCTCATGACTATCATCAAGAAACCCTTGATAATCTTATGGCCGCCATGGTCAATACTGGCATTCTCTGTGCTGTCATGCTTGACACCAAGGTTTTCTTTTTCTCATCTGGGCTTTTCATTTCTTCTACCTTATTACTTTTATCTTGTCTGATTCTGCTGTTTTCTATATATTTTCGAAACTGGTTTTTATTTGTCTGATCTTGTGATTATTTTCATTTCTGATCTCTTTTTTTTGGGAGTCTGTGTTTAATTGTTTGTTTGATTCTGTGCGCAAAGGTTGTGTATGTCTGTTTCTTCCTTGTTATATCTCTTCTTTTGTACCCTTACACCATCATTCATATCCTTTCCTTTCTTGTAATTTTGGGTGCCGGAGTTTGGAGCTTTTGGTCCATTTGGATTTGGATTTGGATTTGGATTTTGTCGTTTTCTATTCTCAAATCTGTTTTGGTGTTTTTGGTTTTCCCTAATTTGAGTTAAGAGAACATTTTGACCTGTTTATTTCAGTACTGAACCGAAAACATGAAAGAAATATCACACCTGATTTTACTGTGTGTTGATTTCTCTTAGTTTTGCTCCAATAAAGCTCTCTTTATACATAGAATAGGGTGTTACTATATATTTCTGACCCATTCTTACACCTTTGGCTCAATAGAAAACTATGGAAGATAGATGCTTTTTATTTTGATCACAAAAATGAACAAACTAAGTTGCGCCAATGGGTCTTAACTGAGTTTAGTTGCTGCGCTACAGCTTTCAAGTACGGACTGAGAAATGACTGAATCATGTCTAGCAGCCTTTTTCATCAGTTACTTTATCTTTTTATGGCTATGGTGTTTCTGAGTTTGTGGGGCTTGTTCATGTGCTAATTAAATGGTGGAGATCATTTGATATTTTTCTCAACAAAATTTTTAGCGAAGGGATATTATTCTGTCAATCATGTTCTCTATCGGATTTTAAAAGACTTCGCCATATTTTAGTAGCAAGCAGGTTGTGCTTCCTCTGTCAACGCTAGGGTAAAAATTGGTTCAAGATTCATATAATCAACCCCAACTAGTTTGGGATAAGGGCTTTGTTGTTGTTGTTTTCCGAAAAACTTTTAACTATGGAAGTTGTTATTCCATTCTAGTCAACGCCTGAATATCAAAAATAGCCCATGGCATATGACTGATAATACTTGGCATATGCATCACTAATCAATTTCTTGTTTGTGATGCGCAATATAAAGTGGAACTTCATAATGCAACTGTTTTTGGCAACTTTGTTCATCCTAAATTTTGAGTGGAGGTTAGGCTCTTACTAGTAATTGTCTTTAGTAGTATGCCAGTGAAAATCAAATAGAATGAAGCTAAATAGAGCATGAAGCATCATCCGTAAGAGAAAATGTTCTTTTGAATGTAATCAGCCATTCTAAACTCGTTTTCATTATTCAAACTCTTCACATCTAAGAAAGAAATTGGGGGCAGGGGCCAGACAGAATGCTGCATTCAAGATAGAATACAGGTTTAGTGAAAATGCATCCCATACCTGCTAACTAAAGCTGCTTATCATTTAGTCATTTCTAGGGTCAAGTTTTAGTTCCAAGTCAGGCTCTTTGTTTAAAAGTAATAGGTTTAAAAACAGCACTTATTTTGTTCATTTTGTTCACAGGGACCGGAGATTCGTACTGGTTTCCTGAAGGATGGGAAACCCATCCAGCTCAAACAGGGTCAAGAAATCACCATATCTACTGACTATAGCTTAAAGGGTGATGAGAATATGATTTGCATGAGCTATAAAAAGTTGGCTGTGGACGTCAAACCTGGAATGGTAATACTTTGTGCAGATGGCACAATATCATTTACAGCATTATCCTGTGATACAAAAGCTGGTTTGGTTCGATGTCGCTGTGAGAATTCTGCAACTCTTGGTGAGAGAAAAAATGTTAATCTCCCAGGAGTTATAGTGGATCTTCCAACCTTGACAGAGAAGGACAAGGAAGATATATTGGCTTGGGGGGTTCCCAATAAAATTGATATGATTGCTTTATCTTTTGTTCGTAAAGGCTCAGACCTTGTGGAGGTTCGGAAGTTGCTTGGAGAGCATTCCAAGAACATCCTTCTGATGTCCAAGGTATGTTGATTACATTAAGACAGAAGAAAAAAAATTTACATTAAGACAGAAGAAAAAAAATTTCTACCTGGTTTTATTGGCAGTCAGATCCAGGCATTTACACTAGCATGTGTTCTTTTCACTATTTTGCTTGGCATGAGTATGTATTGTTTGTTAGCCAAACCTTACCAGGAGATAGAATCCATGCGAGCAACATGTAGAAAAGGTCACAATCTACATGTAAATTTTGAGAAGCCTATGAAATAATTGTTCTAAAATTAAACACTTGTCTTTGTTGCTTAGATGGTTGCTTTATGATGTTTTATTGTCATTTTATTTTTCCTTTGAAACTTTTGTGGTAGGTTGAAAATCAAGAAGGAGTGGCAAACTTTGATGATATTTTAGCAAATTCAGATGCATTTATGGTGGCACGTGGTGACCTTGGAATGGAAATCCCAATTGAAAAAATTTTCCTTGCACAGAAAGTGATGATCTACAAGTGCAACATTCAAGGAAAACCAGTTGTCACTGCAACACAGATGTTGGAGTCCATGATCAAGTCCCCCCGCCCAACTAGAGCAGAAGCTACTGATGTTGCCAATGCAGTTCTTGATGGTAGTGACTGTGTGATGCTGAGTGGTGAAACAGCAGCTGGAGCTTATCCAGAACTCGCTGTTCGGACCATGGCCAAAATATGCATAGAAGCTGAAAACACGCTTGATTATGGAGATGTCTTTAAAAGAACTATGGAACACTCACCTGTGCCCATGAGCCCATTGGAGAGTCTGGCCTCATCTGCTGTTAGAACTGCCAATTCAGTAAAAGCATCTCTTATACTGGTTTTAACCAGGGGAGGAAGTACTGCAAAACTGGTGGCTAAATACAGACCGGGCATACCCATTTTGTCCGTGGTTGTCCCAGAGATTCAGACTGATTCCTTTGATTGGTCATGCAGTGATGAAGCTCCTGCAAGGCATAGCCTTATATTCCGTGGGTTGGTGCCGGTTTTATATGCAGGATCTGCTAAAGCCTCAAATGCTGAGACAACAGAAGAAGCTTTGGATTTTTCCCTTCAACATGCCAAGGGGAAGGGACTTTGCAGGACTGGGGATCCCGTGGTGGCTCTGCACCGGGTTGGAACTGCATCTGTCATCAAGATTATAACAGTGAAGTGATGACTGGGTACACTGACCTTTTGTTCTACTTTCATTTTTTTTTTTTGGGGGGGAAAAGGATGCTTTTAATAATGCTGGCTGGTTTCATTTTTTCCTTTATTTTTCCTCGGACCTTTTCTTTTCTAGGACTGAAAGAAACTCGATTATTATTTATGCTGTTTTGTTGAGCTCATGGTATGAAACTTGTATCCTCGAGCTACAATTTGGTTGCTAGAAGTTTTGATCTTATGGAACCCTGTTATTTATCTTGGCCATGGAACCAAATTGTTGTCATATGATATTGTTTGCATGCGGAATGTTACGAAGTATGACCTTCAAGCATTGAGAGCATGAATCATTCGTTCCTGTATGAGTTTATTTCAATCAGGCACACAAATCTTCATTTACTTGGAAACTACTCTCTTTCTAACCACAAGGGGCGTGCTGCCTTTTGGATGGAGATGCTAACAATTCTGAAGTTCTCAGACTTTCTTCAATTTATTTCGTTGTATTGAACTACAAGTTGGCTTCCATCTTGGCAAAATTTATGAAGAGATGCTTGAAGAGTGAGTAAACTGCCAAATCCACCACGGGATCGGTGACCCGACGAGTGGAAGCTCCTTCCGCCCAAAAGAAGACTTCTCCTACACCTTTCTAGAAATTGGAATTCGGAATAAATTAACAACTCCATGGTCCATACATAGAGAGATTGCTATAATTCAAACAGAATATTGAACAAGAGGCAATTCACATGGGTTTAACGTATGCTAGCAGGAAAAAGAGGACGGGTTCCAGCGTGTAATTGAAGTGGTGGACCATCTCCTTGTCTCGGCCAGATCTTTCCAGCCTGATAATCCACCCCTTTGATTTATTCATCATGTACCTGGCAAATCAACTCAAACAATTCTGAAAGCTTGAACTGATACATATTGTATTTAAAAACCTTCATCAAGTCACACCCCATTTGTTTTCTATTTCGTCAAGTTCAGCATGATTGGGAAAACCAACACGCCTTGCAGCTTGTAGTTAATGTGACCAAGTCATGGCATATTTTCAAAAAAGCTTTGGCTCCGTCTGGTTATTATGCCTTTAGGACGCGGTGCTGCCGAAAAGGATCATATTGATGCTTTTGATACGAAAATGTCAAAAGCACCTGCACGGCTTTTTACACAAACAAAGACTATCTAGAAAGAGCCCGTTGTATATCATATGGCTCCCTTCTTATTGATTACTACCATTTTCAAACAAGAAGAAAGAAACTCCACTTGAGCCATTAACAAATAACGGTACACTTGAGCCATTCATTGACTGGGCTAAAGAAATCAATACCACCATGTCATTCAAGTTAGTCCATTCACTCACCGGGGAAAGAAAACCAACACTGCTATTGAGCCATTCAAAATAGTTTTCGAAATAATTACACAAGTGAAACAGCAGAAAAATAAAGATATTCATGAAGGCAAAAAATCTACAAAAACCAGAGATTGAAACACAATTTGTTCTTCCGAGATCCAACCTTCGGTAAGATGCTATGTACATAAGCAAAGGCTTCAATTAACATGGAGAGCAAGAAGCCAATATGGCAACATAAGAAAGTATATTCAATTCTCATCTGTTTGAGAAGTGGTTCCAGGTGCATTCGCTGGAGAGGATGATGCTGCTGAGGATGGATGGTTTCCACCAGATTGCGAACCCGATGAAGATGAAAACAAGCTATTGAAAGGCCATGGAAAGGAAAAACTTCTCCCGTTTCCACTTCTTTCTTCACTGTCTCCCTCTTCAACACTAATTCCATGACTAATATTACTTTCACTGTTAGTATTCTCAAACTCCCTCTGATCACTGCTATTTCTAGCTCTCTCAGAATCAAGCTTGGACTCATCAGCAGGCAACTGATGCCTGCAAACTGGACAGGAACTATGAAGCTCCAGCCATGGCAATATACAGCCACTATGAAACTTGTGCTTGCATGGCATTTCCCTTGACTTGGAGCCAATCTCAAAATCATCCAAGCACACTGAACACTGCAAAGGCTCCTTGATGATCACAGTAGGCAATGCTTCAACGGCTTCCTTTTGAGCTGGCAGAGTTCCATATCTATTGGGATCATTATCTGCCAAGTGCTGCAATAACAAATCCAAGCCAGGTCCAATGAAATAATCACCGAATGACCCAATTGGATTTTGATTCTGGTTTTCATCATTGTTTGAATCATAAGAACCCTGAACAATAATATTTTGATTAAAAGGATTGATCAAAATGACACGCTCTCTGTCCCTGTTCCGGTCCCGGTCCCTGTCCCTGTCCCTGTCCCTGTCCCTATCTCCTTCTGAATTCTCAGATTCAGATGCCAAAATTCCAGCACGAATTCCTTGAAGTAATTGCAGTATTGTAGCTGAACTTCTTCTGCTCCTCCTCCTCCTCCTTATGAATGATTCAATTTCATGCTCAAACTCGGTCTCTCCTCCAAGGTTTGCTTCACCATCATCATTGTCATCCTCACCTTCTTCATACTCCATCCTTCTAAGCCTTCTACGGCGACGAGAATTTCCCATCATGCCAAGCAAGACTGGAGCCCAAAGTGAGAGGGCACGATCAGATCCAAATTCAGAATCAGGAACCTGAGCATCCCCCGTGTTACCACTCATTTCTTCAATGAACCCACTTTGGCAAAAAGGGCATTTGATCTCTACTTCCACGACGGGATTCACCATTTGAGAGCACATATGGCACCAGTACCGTGCAGCCATTGCTTCCTCCATTTTTTTTTTTTTAAATCTCCCTCCTTCACCAATAACCACAACCTTTGAATTAATGTCTCTGCCACAACCAAAGCAATACATCAAATACAAGTAAAGCTATGCACAAGCAAGCAACCAAATCAGTAGCCCATTTTCACAGGACAAATTACATGAAAAAAAAAAAAATCTTTCAGGGACGCACAGATGTAATACAGAAACACCACCGGATGACATTATTCATTCTTAGGATAAAGCTCATGGTTTAGCAAAACCAAAGCACAAATTTCAAGATCTACAAAACACTGGTAATAAAACTGATATCTGCCAAATGAAAAGTTTGAAAGAACCCATTAAAATATTTGAAATTAGAAGATAAAGGGTTCATCTTTGAAAACAAAATTGCTGGGACAAGATCCCCACAAAGCAAAGAAAGAGGAGATTATTAAAGAGATCTCCTTACCAATGCAAAATCAAAGGAAAACTCAGAAATCTCCAAACAACCAAACAAGAAAAACACCAAAATCACACGTGGTCTGTGTTCCTCCTCCTCTTCAAGAAGAGATGATAGTTTTGTTTTTTTTTTTTTATGAGGGAAAAAAATAAAAAAAATAAAAAAAGGCAGGTAAGAGGGAGGATTTATAAGAAGCGCGCAAATTTACGAGGCAGCACAAGGATCTGGAAAGATCGAGCAGGAAGAAGGAACACAAAATATTATGTACATAGTATTTGACCCAACAACATAACGAACTTTCAAAACATGGAAGTGGTCGCCTTTGACACGCAAACACACAACACATTATATATTACATTCCTGTATGAATGAGAGAATCAAAGAAAGATTAGCGATTTGTACCCAAGATTATTTCTTTATTGTGGAATGGTAAAATTTGGTGATGTAAAGAGAAGAACCAATCAATATATGTATTTCGTTTTGACTCTGAGGGGGTGAGAGACGGAAAAATACGAGTAAGGAGAAGAGAATGAGAAGGAGAAGGAGAAGAGCCACCTTAGATTGTCATTTGCCAATTTGTCATTGCCATGCTCCACAGACCAGGAGAGGACCAGACAATCTCAGTCATTTAATACGGCGCGGTTAATAGCACGATTCATCCATCCTCTCTTGCTCTTCCAAGCTTATGGATTTGGTCCTTGTACTAATTTTTTTAATGAATTGAATCCTTCTAGCCTGCCTGATCCGCGTAGTGTAGCGTCCACGTGAGTGACGATAAAAATAACTTGATTGAAATCAGCGGGTAAGGGTCACATGGACTCACTCTGATATTTTATTTATTTATTTTATTTTTAAGTAACTAGTATTTAGTGGCGGTGATAACCTTTTCCTTTTCCTTTTCCTTTTCCTTAAGAAAATACATACCATTTATGAGATTAAATTGTTAAGACCATTTATACTTTAAACTTTTTAGGTGCGCGAGAGGACACCTTTCAGCCTTTTATATTAAATTAAAATTTTAAAATCATATTACACTGAGCATTTATTTGTTGGCATAAACTAACTCATTTTAGACACGCAAATGCGCGGTCGTATACACTGTCTGTGGTCGCTGAAGCCGAGAAAACATTTAAACCAAACTTCTAAACAGATTATCTCCAATCCTGAACGAGAGCTGACGAACCCTCAAATTGATTCCAACTCTGAGTAATGAATTTTTATATAATGTTAATGAAAACTACGGTCTCCAAAAAGTGAACACCTCGAGATGAGCTAACCGATAATAATCCAATGAGATGACGCTGCGAATTTGAACACCCAGATCCTCCTCGCAAATCCGAGTTCACCTCCTGCAAAACGGCACCCGTTACCTCGTGGTAGGCCTAAACCCTTGTCAGGACCTTAGGACAACCCCAGTGCCAAATCCATACTCTCCCAGAAACTGCTTATCAGGAAGCAAATCTGTCTTTGTGCCCCTCACAGAAGAAGCTCAACTTGTGGTCTTTTGAACTTTGGGATTGCCACCTATCCTCTCAAGAAGAAATGGCTGGAATCACAAGCTGTACAGGTATCACCCCAGCATAAAAATAGCCCAATACCCCAGCTCAAGGGTATTCTTTGAATTTCGAAAAAAAATTAGTATGGGGAATGAATATTAAGCCATAATCTTCCCAAATCTGCAATGCGATTCAAACAGTTTGAGGCTTGCCTGTTGCACCCTCCTCCTGCAAAGGCTAAAACTAGTCAGAACCAACACAAAGTAGCATACCACTAGACTGTCATTTAACAATCCAAGCAGCACAGGATAAGGAATTGAAAACTGGTAGTTCAATCACAAAAACAACTACAAAGGCAAAGCCGACAACTTAAAAACCATCTTCAGCATAAGACAAATTAGACAAAACGAAAATTTGTTGACAAAAGCCTAAACGAGTTTCTCAGAATGTGCAATATACTATTAGATATAAGAACTTGGAATGCTAAATACTAAAAAACCTCACCTCCACCAGTCCATCGTGATAGCTAAATGTACATGTTAAATAAAAAAAAAATTACTTCCAAGAGCTCAAACATATATATAAAGCAATTAGAACCATAAATCAGGATGAAACTGACAATGAAATCAGAAAACTCTAGATTTCTGGTTGCTAAGGCAGATGTAGCCTAAATTCTTCTTTCCATGGACAATTTAAGAAGCAAGGCATTCTAAACAGGATTGCAGCCTAACAAACTAAAGGCAGTACATTCCAGCAGAGTATTGCATGACATTTCCCAGACACCAGATTACATTATGTTGTCATCCAGTTAAAAGTTCTGATGCAGATGCCCTCTTCGAAGAAATTTGATAGGATTCTATTAAATTTCTTGCCAAAATTACTACAGAATCCTTAAGGGCAGTAATTTGACTCTAAGTAAACATAATATAAGATAAACTTCCTTATTCTTACATCTGCAGCTGGAAAAGCTCTGCGTATGGTCACCTTCACCTGAGAAGCTTCAGCACTAGAAGTAGATCCATTGTCACAAATGCCATAATTTTGATCCTACAATTAAATAAAAAACCATGCAAATTCAGATACAATTTTTCATTCCTTAAAATGTACAAGACAAAAGGACTATAAGAGTTGAAAAGAAAGAAAGAAAGAAAGAAAGAAAATGGATGTAAGAGCACAAAATTTCAAACAGTAAGAAATTCCAGTACTCTTTCTTTGAGGTGTTACAGTGGGGTTCGGTCATTGGAGTGGTCTAGCTATTTTTTTCATTATTTTTTTGTTCTTCACATAGCTCAGGCCCTGAATCTCTGCTTCCCTTTGGTCAATTTATCTGGAAAGTAAAGGAGTCCTCCCAGGTTAAGCTTTCAATTCACATGGTGGTTCTCAATATGGTTATGATGTCATAGAATGGCTTTGTCTCCATATAAATATTTTATGTTACATAGCAGTGAGAGGAAGCAAAATCATCTTTTTCTACATTGCCCTATATGCATTTCAATAGCCTCTATATGAAACACGCCCTTAGGAGCTTTTAGGAGCCTGTGTGACTAGTGAACCCTATTCTTAAGCTCACCTTTCTATTCCTGAAGGATGCCTTCTCCATCACGCAGTGATCATTTATTCTCTTCCCCCTAATAACATATTCTTCTTTCAACTAAAAACAATCACATGTGGCGTTAAATACTTTTACATGTGCATTAGAGATGCAGTAGTGTTTGAACTCTATTTTTAAGGCTTTCCTAAATTATTCACAACCATACTCAGCCAAGTCACTAATACATTCAAGACAACATATTAACCCTTCCAAATTTGGATGGAATGGCTATCATAATGCAGAGAAAGGAAAAAAAAGAAAAAAGTTACCCTCTCCCTTCTTTCCATCAATGCACTTGCATCCAAAAAAGTGGATTAAAAGAGCCACCGTTTTCCTCCCGCCTTATTCCTCCAGCAATTTCCTCCCTTCCACTTCAACCAAAATCAGGCATAAAATGTCTATGGGCAAGTCATTTACGTCATAAAAAAGTATTATGCAAGATTAAAAGAAAAACATGACGAAAGAGACTTATATAGCAGTTGGAAGTGAAGATATCAAAGCCATCAATGGCAAGTTAAACAAGTAAAGAATGATATATGAATAAGGTATAGCTTACCCCACGGAGACATTTGTTGTCTTGTCCGTCTTCAAAGAGAGATGAGTAATAAGCTGGATCATAAATGGAACCCCCTAAAACAACATCAGAATCCGAGCACTGTCTATCTACAGCAGCAGGCGTTGTTGGACTGAGAAAACTACTTCTTAAATCGAAATCACCTTCTTGAGGAGCCAAACTATCTATATAAGGAACGCCCAATCTGTAGATCTGAATCCATAACAATGAGGATGACAACCTCACTATAAAACCAATGATTTGCATTGCCAAAGTGAGTTTCACTGAAAAGACGAAGAACATTCCACGGTCGTCTGAGGAAATGTCCCTGCATACATAACGCACAAACAGATAATGCTTTCAATTAATACACATGTTACAAAAGGAAGAATCTCCCCCATGCAGTCCTTAATTAAGTATAATAATCCATAAAATAGAAAACCATAAAAACAAAAAAGAAAAGAAAAGAAAATTAAGTAGATGTTGCACGGTTCCTTGTTAGATCGCCATTATTGTTGGGCAATCAACCTCAAAGGAAGAAACGGATAGGGTGTTGATCCCCTTGAAGTAACTGAGAAAATAGTTATGAACAGGAATATGCGCGCGCGTGTCAGCAACAGAGTACTAATTTGTAAGGGGAAAATGGAAAAGAAATGATGCAATGGCCAAGCTGCTTGTTTAAACACCAGGTGAAGTAAAACTAGAGTAGAATACAAAAGTGAGGTGAGAAAGGAAAGGAGGTACCAGATGGGGCGAGAGAAGAGGATGAACCAGGTAATGTCGAGGAGAAGAGAGGAAAAAAGCAGGACAGCGTAGGTGCGTCCAAGTCGCTGACTGCTGCTCTCAATGGCAACGAGGGCGAACAGAGAGATAGCCAAATTAATAAGCAAGACGCCGTTGTACAAAGCTCCAAGGGATCCAATCAATGAGCAACCAATCTACGTACATAATAAATTAATCAGTAAATTGGGATTGCAATAAACAAGAAGAAGAAAGATTTAGAGGAGAGAAAATGATAATGAGGAGTTGTTTTATTTTTTTGTAAGTTATAATTATTGGAATAAGAAATACCTGAATGTAAATGAGAATTAGGGCCAAATGTTGGAGAGAGTCGTAATCGCGAAGCCAACTCTGAAACCAGTGTTTGAAGAGATGAGCGGCAGTACAACATCCGCCGCCGCAGCCGCAGCCGCCGCCGCTACAAAACAACATCTCTGTCTCGTCCTCTCATACAAAAAAGAAAATGATTTGATAATAGATATCAAATTGATGAATCGCAACAAGAAGAAGAAGGGGAAGGAGAAACGGCGCCTTAGCCTTAAGCTTCATGGGCATCTATCTATCTTCTTCTTCCTTTGCTTTTTTTTTTTTTTGTAATTTTTAATTTCGTCTTCTTTTTTTCGCTTTTCCTTTTCTTGCTCTCCCTTTCTTTGGATCTATCTATCTATGCATGTATGTTACAGTTACTAACATCCCCTCCTGATCTTGCATAACAGCAAAACAAAGGCAGCAACATTTATTGTTATTATAATTATAATCTTCACTCTTCAGGTCAGCTGTGTTGTGGCGGAATGGGCTTGGGCTGGGCTTTCTCCTATTATTGGGCTTAATGCTTTATCAATCACTACTGACCCACCCACCCCATCCACCCATCGTCTCATTTTTACGAACGCGACCGCGTCTCAGAGGCTGGAGGATCGACTGAGAGAGAGTGAGGGGGAGAGAGAGAGAGCGCAGGCAGACAGCTTAAGGTTTGATCGAAAGAGAAAGAAGAGGGATGGGTGAGGAAGGAGATAATAGTAATAATAGTAGGAGTAGTAGTAGCAGCTGGGAAGTAATGGAGGATCTGCAGCGAACTGTCAAGGAATCTAAGGATTCTGCCATTCGCTCTGCTGTTTCCTTCCAACAATCCTCTTCTTCCCATCTTCGCTCCTTTCAGGCAATTCCTTCTTTTATTTACAAACCATTATCGTATATTCTAATCTACGTTTATCCTCCCTTTTCTTTTCTTCTTTTAACTACATTTATTAATTAATCACTTCCGATTATTCATCTCCCTAAATAAAGAAAATAATTCCCATCATATGCTTAGTAGATTGATGATTGACATTGCTTTGCAGGACCATGTACCGGAGGCCATTTCAAAGTTCAACTCTTATGAAAATACTTTCTTCTCCAAAGTTAAAGGTTCCCTCTTCTTTTTTGTTCATAATGACCCTTTGTTTAGCGCAACAAACACTATCTCTCTTAAATTAATTTGCTTTCTACTTAATTTTGTTATTCTCAGAGGAGTTGCTCACTGCCAAAGACCACCCAGCTGCTGCCATTGGACTTACTCTCACTGCCGGACTCTTCCTCATGCGAGGTCTCCTCTTCTTTCCCACTCCTCTACCTATCCTACTCAATCTTGTTTCTCCTTTTTTTTCTTAATAACTAGTAGGCAGAGTTTAATGTATGTCTTCCTTTCTTTTAGCTCTCTCTTCCTTCTTTTAATACCTTTTAGAATCCTCAATATATCCATTCCTTTTTTATTTTTCCATCTTCTTGCAGCCCCTCGAAATATTTTTACCAAAGAAAATGATGATCTTGTGTCTTTGTCCCATAATCTCCCACTACTATATAATATATAGATCATCCTATGAGCCAAAATCAGGCATAGTCCTAGTGGAAGCCATTTCACATCCTGGGCTTCGTTCTATATTAGAAACTGCATAATCCAAGTGTTGATTTCACCCAACTCTTTGATCATAAAAGGAGTTTTTTTTGGGAAAAAAAAAAACTTATAGCAATTTATTCATTTAACTCAAGGAGACATATATATAGCTCATTCAAGACTGGTTCGTACACTTAATTCAAACTATCCTATTACTGCCACAAAAAATTATAGTGCTTGATTTTGCTTTCGCTTGATCATCCTTTACAATCATATAATATAAAGCATATATTTTGTTACCTACTGGCTACTGCATCATAATATGAGCATTCGAGGAGTTTTGTGCAGGGCCAAGAAGGTTTTTGTTTCGGAATACATTGGGTCGGTTTCAAAGTGAGGAGGTATCTACCCCCTTCATTTAAACTTGGTTACCATGTAAAATAAAAGCCCTGAGATCCTAGGTTATGTCTTCCAATTAAAACTTGAAGGTTGCTTCTCATGTCTCGGATATGTTGTCATCTGTCTGTACACGTGCAGGCACAATTTCTAAGAGCAGAGAAGAATGTAAAAGAATACAGCTTTTCTGTTGATTTAATGAAGAAGGAAAGCAGAAAACTGCTTGAAAGGGCGTCTCTTGCTGAAAAAGAAATGAAAAATGGCCACACTGAGCTCCTGTAATGTGACTTTGTGATCTCTTATATGCTGCCATACTTTCATTAGTTATCTCAGGGTTGTTTATTAAATGCTCATATCTGTAGGGATGCTGGGATTCAAATTCAGCGTCTTTCTAAATCAGTTTACAAGGTTGAAACCAAAACTGCAGGTCTGGATGCCAAAGACTTTCTCGTTTTTCTTTGTTATGTCATAGAGTTGAGAACTTTGATCAGTCCTTGGGGCATTCTTTTCTGTTTTATAAGTGATGGTTTGTGTTCTGTAATGAGATTTTTCCACTGAATTGTCATGGTGGAAGATAGGAAAAATCTCCTATGGTCGTGACATGTTGGCTGTCAGAGATTAGCTATATTTAAAATGATAGCAGGAAAACCTTGATTTTTCAAGTTGAAGCACGGGGCACTCATGACCTTCATGAGTTGCTTGTTATCCATCAAGCATCAACCAATTAGCGAAGATTAAGTCATCAAGTCCAATATTCATCCCATTTTAAAATTTTTTGTTATGTTTGATTCCATTTTTTGTGATTTTGCATTAGATTTGATGGATGGACTACGAGAAATTCCTGGCAGGGACGCTTTGAAACTTCGAGCTGAGGCAAGTCTTGACAATTCTTATTTGATAATTCAATCTTCTGATGGTGTTTGTATGTTCACCTGATTGATAACCATGTTGAAGGTTCTCTATCTTATATTTGATTAGGTTGCTTCTATGACCTCCCTTTTGAAGCAGCAAAGGGCTGTACTTGACAAGCGGATCATGAAGATTTCAGAACTAGGAATTCCTGTTTGATAGATTAGAATGATGCTGAGGTTGAAAATTCTCGACTCCTGGATTTTGCTTATTTCCCTCTTTTCCTTATGCTCCTGATGTTCTCAAATTTTATAATACAACATAATGTGTTTGAGATGTAATGTGTTTGTGATGTAGAAGAGAAGGTGGGCTTTCTATTCCAGCATTCAAACCCCCTTACTCCTGCTCACAACTTGAACATCCACAAATCCAACTTATGGTTTTTTATCGTCCTGCAATGTCAAATACCAAACATTTGTTTTACCTGGAGATTCTCAAAGTCCGTTTTATTTCCAGTTATTCAGTTCTCATATCTGCACATAATATGGTTAGTCATTCATTCATGGATTGACATATCTACTGGTAAAATATTTAGTAAAATGATCAAGTATAAGACAATGCAGAACTCGGATATCTAACATAATGTGATGTAACCTGCTGTGAATCACAATTTACATTCAATTCCCGGAAATATTTTTTTCATTTGTGAGCAAAATTTTCTTAGCATAGTATGAAAGCTCCGAACTCTATTTTCTCATCTGCGTGAATAATTCTGGAGGTCTTCCAGTTCCTCCCAGATTACCGCTGAAAGAAGAGAAACCACCAATTCCTTGTTGGCTGCCTCCTTCATTACCAGAAAAAGCTGAAAAACCACCAGCACCTTGTTGGCTCCCAAAAGCCCCAAGTCCACTACCCGTGCAAATTTGAATTACAAATCAGCAAAGGCATCGAATGCATTAAACAAAAAATGAGGAAAATACAGTATTAGCCAATAATGCTTCCTGTGGTAGCAAATCCACCTCCACCTGAAGCCGCACCACCAAATCCAACACCAGAAGCCACGCTATCAAATCCACTACATGCAGCCGCACCAGCAAACCCTGCACCAGAAGATCCCAAAGCAGCAAACCCACCACTTATAGAAGCAACACCAGCAAACCCGCCAGCAGTTGCAGCGCTTGCAAAGCCACCTGTTGAACTACTAGTAGCAAAGCCACCACCAAAATTAGTGGTAGAACCAAAACCACTTCCAGGTAAACCAGCTGCAAACTGTCTCTGCCCAAAAGTGCTAAGAACTGATCCCAGTGCTTGTTGTCCTGGGCCAATCCGTGCTGGCTGGCCAAACTGGCTTTGAGCAGGAGCTTGAGCAACTGCTCCTGTAGCAAAGCCACCAGAGAATGCACCCATATCTGTTGGTGGAGACGGTTGTGAAGGCTGTGGAGATTGAAAGTTCAACGATGCAGGTCGAAAAAGCCTCTAGAAAATGCACCCGTATCTTTTGGAAAGGTTGACTTTTTCCAGCAGGGGGTTGAGGCTCTGTTTTAAGCGATTCTGACACTGAAGGGGTAGGAGTGGGGTTGAAATTAGGTTTTGCCCATAAGAGGCTGATTCTTCTTTTCTAAGGGACTCCGATGTCAAATGTGAAGGAGTTAGATGTCTGGAAGGTGGAGTTTTTTCCTGGAGGGGGCTGCAGTTCCTTAGAAGTCTCTGAGGTTAGAGATGGAGCATATGAGGATAACACTGTCTTGGGGGCCTGAAAAGATAATGGACTGGAAGAAGGTAAAACAGGGGAGAAAGAAACTGATGACAGGGATGTTGAAGCTGTGCTTGTTGGCATTGTGCCTGACGAGATCAGTGTAGATGCTGATGATGGGATGTTTGCTGATATATTGATCATTGTAGATGAGGAAACCGAAAGCAACATTGAGATCGCTGGAGAAGACGAAGCTTTTTCACTAGGCTGACTTGTGCTAGTTGCAACATTGATATGAGGAACTTCTCCAGGTATGGCGGAAGCAACGGGAGAAGCACCTACAGAAGAGCGTGGAGGCTCATGATTTTTGCTACCAGATTTAAAAAATGAACCTTTGGTGTTTGCTGATCCATGCTTCAAACTTTCAATTGCTGACTTTGCAAGCGCAGTGCTGTAAGTGGAAACAAAAATCTCATTTGGCTTCTTCAACAATGATGTCTGTGTTGGTGACTGTTGACACAGCAGATTTTTTATTTAGGTTAGTTTCATTTTTCTGAATAGACTTGGTCTCATTGATCAAACCAGATTTGGGCTCCTCAATATGAGAAAACATACTCTTTGATTTATCAGCATTCATATTGCAAGTTTCCCTGGTATGTTTGTCTCCTGCTGTCAGCAATACTAGCGATGAGGAAACCAATAAGGTCATTGCATTGTTACTTTGCAATGTAGGAGACCTCAATGCCAGAGGCTGTGATGGCAACAGAGGATCAGTTGCCCATTTAAATGCAGCAGGTGGTTTTATCTCAACCGCCTGTTCGGTGAATCCATACTGTAAGCCTGCTGAAACATGGAAAAGCCATCATCATTTGTTTTTTCTTCATATGCATATAGACAATAAGCAAACATGCCTGAAGTGCTCTTTCATCTAAACTTAGTAATAGCTCACTTTTGCTTTCAGATGGGTGCAAGAAAGATGATGGGAATGTCCGGTTTTCTTGGTGAGCAGCTGTTCTGTCCACCAAGCTAGAGCTAACATGTTGACTATCCTTCAACAAGGATGACCTATTCACACTTTCCTTCTGACTTTCTTGCAAAAGCACCCTTTTACAGTAGTGTTTGTTGGCTCATAATTAATATGCATGTTAATGTTTCCAAAAAATCTATCAGCTCACAGGATGAGATGAGATACTTGGAAGTTAATTTAATAAAAGCATAACTCGAAGACGTAAGAAAATAGTTAATAAAAGCATAATCAAGTTGTAAGAAAATAGAAACAGGAATTTGCGGAGTAGTAACAGGAATTTGCGGTTATCTTTCAAGTTAAAAATGCTTCTGCAAATTTAGAGGCCCATATATTTTAGTAAAATCTTATGAACACTGAAACCGAACTGCACTACTGAATGGATTCTAAACTTGTCTATGAAGATTCAATCATCATTTATTTTTATCTTCAAGTTTTGTATTAAATCTTAGTGGTGTACGGCTTCATCTCCTGACTTGTTTACCTCAGTTAAGTAATTTGTTTGTTTTAAACATAAGAAGTTGCATCGTCAAAAAGTCAAGGGGAAAGAGAGCAAGTGAAATCCACAGCACAAGCAACAAAGCAGAATAATCTGAGCGAAACTCTATTCACATTTCTAATTGAACAGTTTAGTAGATTAATTCCATGCCCGTAACAAGAATTTGGCTATCTGCAAAAGCAAACTAGCTTCAGTGAATTGAGTATCACTAGAGGACTAACTCAAGACAGCTAAATTTCAATCCCAACTAGTTGGGGTTGGCAAGTAAATAGCACTAGAGGGGAGAGCATCAAGAATGATAAAAGTGGCTTGAAAAAGAATTACCTGATCCAGTGAGTCCCTCCTCCTCCTTGAAGTTCCTGAATCACAACTCTTCAGACTTACCTTTGGTGGCAGTGGAACCAGGAGAAAGTAAAAGTTTCTTCAATGATGAGGTATCACTAACTTCCGTTGCATCTGGTGAGCTAAAAGAGGCATCTTAGGGAATCCCAATTGTTTCAAAAAGCTCCTTCTTTACTTCCTTCTGTTCTACGGGTGATTCCTTACTTCCTTTTGAGAGACTTTCAGAAAGTTGTTCAGCAGCTGCAAACTGTGAACTCATTTTGTTTTGTAAACTATGCAAGCACTGGAAGTGTCGACCTTTCTGGGTTAGGTAACAATACATTGGTGAAAAGCAACAAGCGACGGCGTGCATGGTACTAACCGTCATATAAGACATTTTTCGAGTTCTTCAATTCAAGAAAATGAATATACTGCTAATTGTTAGTATATTATCCCTCCTTTTATTATATTATATTATATTATATGTAAATAAAAATATCTAATCTCGTACTTGGTATATAATAGATGCTTAATTGCTGGCATAAATCATGACATGATTTATACCCTATATCTCCTCAGCTTTGTTTATAAATTCACACATCATCATATATGAGCCCGTGTTCCTTACATGTCTGACACGTTAGCATACAAGGGTTTTGATCCGATGTGCCATAGACACTATTCTTTCTGATACGTGGCTTCATCTGCAGCGTCCAGTAATCCAAAAGTTTGATTGATAAGATTTGAGCCATTCAAAGTCTGATTTGAGTGATTTCAGTGTCGTTTTCAACTTTTTTGGTCATTCCGGACACATTTGTAAAGTCAGACTTGATAGATTCAAATCAGAGACATATTAAAAATGGTAGATGAAATAAAAACTGTTGGAATTGAAAAATTTAATTGAACAAATTTGAATATTGGAAAATACAAATTGAAGAGACTATCTATATGGAAAGAAACTTCATCTTCCTCTGTTGGGGAGCAAACCAGAGAATATGCTAGAAGAAGATTGACAAATTCTTAATAGACAGGTTTTGGACATTATCTGACTATCCTTGTCAAGAAGAGTTGCTGACAATATTAAAAAAGAAAAATCCACTATAAAATTAATAGAAGTTTTGTCTAGGATGTATGAGAAGCCTTCAACAAATAATAAAGTGCACTTGATGAATAAGTTGTTCAACTTGAAGATGATAAAAAGCACCTTTGTTACACAACTTCTCAACAACTTTAATACCATCACAAATCAATTTTCATCTGTTGAGATTAAGTTTGATGATGAGATCCGTGCACTTATTTTGCTAGCTTCACTTCCAAGCAGTTGGGAAGGCATGAGAACAGCCGTAAGCAACTCAGCTGGAAAATTTAAACTAAAATATGATGACATCCGAGACTTAATTCTAGCTGAAGAAGTGTAAAGAAAAGACTCAGGTGAAAGTTTAAGTTCAGGTTCAACTCTCAACATCAACACTCGATGGAGAAGACATGATAGAGGCTTATCGAAAGGCAGATCAAAATCAAGGTACAGAAGTAAAAGCAAGTTTAGACCAATAAAACAGGTTGAATGTTGAAATTGTGGAAAAGTTGGTCATTTCATGAGGAGTTGCACAAAACTAAAAAAACTTGAAGTTGACTCTACAAACGCTCCTATAGATGAGGTACAAGATGCTTTAATTTTTGCTGCACAAAGTCCAATTGATGATTGGATCCTTGATTCTGGTGCTTCATTCCACGGTACACCACACCATGAAATGATACAAAACTATGTTGCTGGAGATCACGTTGTAGTCTATCTGGCCAATGGATATTGTGGGTATAGGAGATGTGCAAATCAAAATAATGAATAGTATATGGAACTTGCAAAATATAAGGCATGTTCCTGGATTAAAGAAGAAGTTAATCTCGGTTGGATAACTTGATGATAATGGTCATTCAATCCTTTTTTC